GAGAATGGACTTGTGCTTGGTTGTATAATACCAGCATCTAACATTTTCTGTACTAACCACTCAATCTCGTCCTTTAGCACGTGCGAGTATCGGTAGGGCCTTACACTTATGGGTGGTGTGCCTTCCTTTAGTATAATAGAGTGAGTATGACTTCAAGTTGGCAGTAAACCAACCGGCATGTTGAAAACATCACCAAAACCATCCAATACCGCCTTGATTGGAGCGGAAGTTTTACCATAATTCAACAAGCCAGAATTGGCCTGGAGGTGCACGAGGTATCCCTCACTTTCCTGTTGCAACAACTGTTGCAAAGTCTAATAGGATGCCATGGATTTTGATAAACTCGGGTCACCTCGGAGAGTGACTAGTCGGTGATCTAACCAAAATTGCATCCTAAGTTCCAACCAATTCACGGTCATATCACCAAGTGTTTGCAGCCACTTGATACCCAAAATCACATCGGACCCCCCAAGCTCAAAAGGTAAGAAGTCTTCGATCACACGAAACTCGGGCAACTCAAGAACCAACCCCTTGCAACACCCAAAACTTTGTGCGATCACTCTGTTACCCAGTTTCACCCCCACCGACCGAGTACCTGCTACCACGAGGGCTTGTTCATCAATTATTCTTGAGGAAACGAAATTGTGGATGGCCCCACTATCAACGAGAAATACTACCTCCTTATCCCCAATCTTTCCTAATACCTTCATTGTCCTAGGCGAGGTTAGACCACTTACATAATTGAGTGATACTTCTGCCATGTCAAAATGCGCATGTTCTCCATCTTCCAACTCCTCTTCGCCCCTACCGTCCTCATCTCCATCAATGATTAGAACCTGCAAAGCCTTACTTGGACACTTATGCCCAGGCGCAAACTTCCCGTCGCACCGCCAGTTCAGCAGCCGTCAGCCTCTTGAATCCCCCTTGCACATTATCCTCCTTCTTGATATTAGTCTGTACGAGGCTTGTATTCACCAGATTAGTTTTAGTTTGGGGTGAAATCTCGCTTCTAGTTCCATAACCATAATTCCCCTTAGATGTAGCAGAACCAGACTTAACCACACCTCCTCATTTGTTGTCATCAATCTTGATTGCCACTCGGATGGCGTGCTCCAGTGAACCAGGTTCCGCGATCCGAACCTCCGCTCTAATGTCTAGTTTTAAACCTTTAATAAAGGTACATACCATGATATCATCTGGTACACCCAGCAGTTGACCAGCAAAACCTTCAAATCGATCCACATATTCCCGCACAGTACCCTCCTGATGAATATCCAAAAATTGTTGCTTAATGCTTCCCTCTTGAGACTGTTGGAATCGTTCCAGAAACTTCCGTTTAAACCGAGACCACGAACTAAAGGGAGATTTCTCTTCCTTCCACCGAAACCAAGACAGTGGCACTCCCTCGAAACAAATTTCAACGACCTTAAGCTTGTCTTTACCACGAAATTTGTGCAACTCGAAGTACCTCTCCACCTTGTAGAGCCAGCCCTGCACATCCTCCTCTGAAAAAATGGGTATCTTCATCCGACGACAATCTCAAAACAGGTCGCGTTTACGGCCCTCCTTCTTTGATCGTTTGAAAGCCCCTGATCGAGAACTGCAATCAGAAACATATGGGTCATCATCCTCCGAACCGTTGTTGGGATCAGAGGGAGATTCATACTTAGATTTCTTCTTCTTAGGTCGACCCACAACCACCGTCAACTCAGCAACAGCCCGAGTCGGCTGTTGAATCTGGTCTGCAAATTCCGTGTGACGTGCCTCAGTTGAATCCAATGCCTTGTTAACTACCTCTTCCAACGCTACCAATTGCTCGGTGTTAGTGCCTTTACCTAACAGCCTCTCCGATTCTAACATCAAGAGTGTTTTGCTCTGATACCAATTGATATGTTCTCAGGTATTCCCAAGAACTTACCCTATTGTTCGAGTCACAGGAAGAACTCCTAAATTACCTCATGGCTTTATTAATTAATCGATAAAATAAACGCTTCACCCTACGGCACACCAATTATATTGACCTGCTAGAATAACCAAAAATCCTAAACATCCAATTCCTAAATAATAAAATAACTAAACAATATTAGCTAGATAACTATAACTTGTAATTATCCTATTTTAACTTTTCTTAAAACGTCTCTGATAAACACAACCAAACCAGTTTGTTTGGGATGTATCAGAATACTTAATAATTATATATCAAATTAATGAGGCAATATGAAGAGTTATATAGGATTCAAATTAATTTGGTGCTTCAAAATGTGAGAAAAGTAAATATACACTATAAGGTATCTAAGCTTAGGTACTCAAAATCACCATACTACGTGATTTGGTATCATATGTGCATTGAAATTGTCCAAAGTTTTTAACATTTAACTCCTAACTTGATTTACTTCCAAGGTTTTTAGAAATTTCATCATTATCATCCTCTTACATATTTTTTATTTGCAACTATAATATACATAGTTCGGTAGGTGTTCGGTAGAAAGATGCGATGTAAGAAGAAGATAATAATGAAATTTCAAAAATCTTACAAGTAAATCAAGTTAGAGGTTAAAGGTTAAGAATATTGTAATGCATATATATAATACAAAACAAAGTAGTATGGTGCGTTTGGATACCTAAGTTTATATACCTTGTAGGGTGTATTCACTTTTCCCTTATATATATATATATATATATATATATATATATATATATATATATATATATATATATATATATATATATATATATATATATATATATATATATTCTTGAACTTCCAAAAAAAATATAAAAATTAGTTCAAAGAAAAATATTTTCTTTCAACCAACAATTACAAAGATACAAAAGATATATAAATATTTAAAAGAAGAAGGTGAACACAATTATGTATAATGGTTGATCTCTATACCAACAATTTAATCCACTTCAACAGAGACTCCCTCTCCGCCTCTATCGGCTACCCACCCACCGATGGTTGATCCAATAATAAAATATCTTTAAGACATTTAAATAGTCTTACAAGATTTTCCTATCTAGTACACTCAAACTCTTTGCAAGAGAAGTTTGGATCAATCTCATAAATACTCTTATACTTCCACAATAATTGCCTTGAATAAAATCACTCCATCAAGTACTAATCAAAGTAATTAAGTGGAGATTGATGATTTGGCTGATACCAAGTAGGTGGGGATGTGTTCTCGTCGGTACCACAACGCCACCTCAGTCATGCCGACTCGGCACCATCCAACCTTATAGTTTGTTAATAATAGAAATGGGTACAAAAATAATACTAGGACCCATAATGTTGGGAAAAAGAAAACCTTCATTGACCAATTTAGGACAAATAAATTAGTTTGTTACATTAGTTTAGTTTTAACCCTCAAATATATGTGTATTATATTTGTGATTTGAGGTAGTAACGTCTAAAGGACTTGGCGACTTTGTAGTATTCGGTACTTCCCATTCATATTGATTTGAAGGATGCTAGAGTTGGTATGAGAATCTTAGTTTTTATGTATCTATCGAAAAATACTTAAGGTGTTGAGGTGTAAGAGATGGATAAACCATGGTAATGTTTAATATGATGTAAGAGATTAATGGATTAAGAATTCATTTCAGCATCAATATGTTAAAGCTTCTTTAATTAGTCAATACTTTATATTATCCTACTATCTACTACTACATCTCTATGTTTTTACCCATGTACCAACACAATAGTAAAGGTCCTTATAAGTAAAGAATTGGAAACAGAGCCATAATTTTTAAACGTTTCAATATACAATAACTTAATAAGATTTATAATTTAAAAAAATAAAACAGAAAGTACAATATTTTTATGAGAAGCCTGTGCACCATTAACTTTAGGCCCTTTACAAAGATTTAATGTCCACATCAGAAGAACAAGAACAATCACAGTTATTGGATTTGGGAAGACCTTCAGAACATGTGAACATAATCATGATAAAGGATCAAAATTCTAAAGAGTTCAAGTACCATATGTATTGTATCACTTGTTTGACATAATTTCTGCCAACTGTAGCGTTTGATGGATGACATCATACTAGGAGAAGCTCAAATTATATGATTATTATTGCAAAATTTATGATTTATCCCTCCTTAGGCCAATTAAGATCAGATTGCCCAATTTTTCCACATGCTAAAGCGTATACATGAATGGATTACGCAGATTGTGAAACATACGATGATAAATAAGCTAACGGAAGAAAATTAGATTACGCAACTTGAAAAACAAACTGAATTGGAGGGTGTGAACTCACTGCTCTGCATTTTCAACATCTCCGGCGTCCGTGTCTGTGAGAACGATGTGGCGACGTTGTGGAAGCGTTGAAGGCTCCGCGTTGGAGAAAATGTGAAAGAGGCGGGTGGGGTTTGTTTTGAAGTACAACCCAACAGTTGCGTTGTGAGTTAGGTAAATAAAAATCCCCATAGTGTATAGTGTATATGCTATGCCGAATGAAGTACAAGTTGCTCTAGCTAGGGTTACTATTCTGAATTTCAGAATTTGATTTTTTTTTTTTTTAAATGTAGGTCATATTTGTCCCAAATATATATATTTGGCTATGATCTTTTGGAAATTTTAATGAAAATTTTCGCTAATATTAAGAGGGGTAATTGGATAATTATACATTCTCATGGATTGGGCTATGTGGCCTCACCCTTATTCAAGCCACTTACCAGGTTGTTGTGAATCTAATTTATTCCAAGTTAGTTAAAGGCAGCTTAGAAGTTGCGGGAATAGAAACATTTTTAATTGCAATAAGCAGTGAACTACCTAGCAAACCATTGTATAACATATTTAAATTTCACAAAATGTGGACCACTTGAGGGTGGTGCCTTAAGAATAAAGCGAACAAAAGTTCAAAACATCACAAACAAGTCCAAATGCTAAACTTCCATGATTAAAAATCAGCCAAGATTCCATTCCATTCCATTTTTACGCATAACTTGCATAATCACACAAAACATTGGAACAAAACACAGCATTTTTTATTTCAGGACATGAAAACATGTAGACTTTCAGTTCTCATCACCTGACAAACAGGACAATTTTGAGTAAACACCTCACACTCTTTACACAGACACAAGTGCCTACAAGGCAATAACAAAACACAAACCTCTCTCCCCTTGCAAGCCCTGCAATTGAACGCCTTCATATCATCACACTTTAAATTTACATTTGTATAAGATGCAGCATCATCAACCTCGCTATCACCATATCCTTCTTTCCATTGAACAGGCTTCTGTGATTGTGTCATCATCACTTGTTGCAGATTGTTCTTCAGAGCATTCACTACTGACTCGTTGTACTTTGCTCTGTAATGCCATGATTGAGCTTCCATGCTTGCTTGCTTTATCTTCAACCCTAATTCCATGTTTTTTCTATTCATGTTCTCGATTTCAATCTCTTTTTCACTTAATTTCTTTGATACTTCTTTCTCCAATGTCTTTAGCAATGAAACCGTATGTTTCTCGTTCAGTTCTCTTATACCCTTCACCATATTTTCTTCCTGAAAACATCAACACAATTACAATTACAACTCCCTCACAATATGGACAATGTACTTTTTCAGTAAATTACATTTTTGGTCCCTGTGTAGATGCTTTTTGTTATTTTAGTCCCAAAAACTTCTCTTGTAATTTTACCCATAATAATAGCAACATACTTACATTGGCAATGTACTTTATTTGTTACAAATTGCAATTAATAAAAAATGTAAGTAGGTTGCTGTTAATAATCTAATAAATTTAAATACATTGCTATTATTGGTTTTAAAAATGTAGCTGGGTTGCTATTATGGGTAAAGGGTTATGAGTTATGATGAAGATATGAATTGAGGGAGAGGGGGGTTTACCTGGAGTTTAAGATAATGATTAAGAAGTTGTTTTTGGCGATCCATTTCGAGCTTAATATTGCCTGTGAGAGAATGAGAAAGGGGTTGAAGAGCTTTAAAGTTTTCACTAATGGAAGTGACAGAAGAGTTGCGTTCGTCTTCTTCGTAAGATAATTTCAGGCCAGTTGAAACAGGGTGGTTGTGGTTGTGGTTGGGATTCATGAGGCCTGCATCATCTTGACAGAAGAAGTTGTTGTTTAAAGATATGTGAAGCTTTTGCTCACGTGCCCTTTTGATCCCCCGACCTGAAGCAGCTGCAGTTGCATGATCGTTTCCAACAAAGTTTATATTATCCAGCGTACACCCAACTGGAACTGCATTTATGTTAAATGAAGATTAAGAACGATTGAAGATTATCAAACACAGTAGATGAAGGAGAATTCTGAAATCGGAAAAATTACATTTTCCGAAAAGTTGAAGTTGAGGCAATGCAGTCATGTCGAACTGTGTGTGTGATCGGTGTTCTTCGGGGAAGGTAGGGTATCCGGAATGACCCCCAAACATGTTACTGTTGCTTCTAACACTGATCAATAATAGAATCGGATTCAATAAATCATGTGCGTCATAAGAGAAATTCCAGTAAAAATTAAGCGGCAATTGTCAATACCAAATCACGCATCTATTTGATGAAATCATGAAAACACAAAGTTCTCCTGATTTCATCAAAACATCGAACATCAAAATGAAATTTTCGAAACAACGCAACACCCAAACAACAGATTTCGATCGGAAGACATCGATCAATAAAGGAAGAAATAGAGGTGGATCTGGAGGGAATACCTTGGAACTTGCAATGAGATTCGAAGGCTATGAGTCAATATGATGAAGGCGAGATGGGGTTGATGATGAAGAAGGTACAAGTAGTAGTGGGTGAAGAATGGGTTGATGATGATGATGGGTAATGGTATGGTGATAAAAAGGATTCCATTTGTTGTTGTTGTTGTTGTGGTTGTGGTGTTGTTGTTGATGTAAAAAGAGAGAACTTGTTGAAGAATTCTTCCATTGTTCTCTCTTGTGGCAGCTTTGTTTTCGTTTTCCCACCAGTAAATTTTTGTTTTTTCTTCGATACGGTTACCGACGTGCGGACTGTAGTGTTGATTTATTGACTATTCTATTTCGATTTTCGATTTTCAATCTTCATCTCCTCCCTCCCTCATCACTCTTTTCGTTGTTTTGTGGGTTTTCGGCTATTTTATTATCACACATCCCCAACAAACTTTTCTTTGACTCTTTTTTATATTCCAAACATCATCATCATTCATCATCTTCTTCTTGCATTTCTCTCCTCTTTTTTTAGAATGTAGTTGTTATTTAATGCTTTGGCCTTTTCTTTCCTATTCCATCTTTGAAATTTGATCCGGTCTCATCCATTAACTCATATCTAACCTATTCAACCTAGGCCTTGTAAAATTATTGTATGCACGACTTTAATAACATCTTAATATAAATTTAAATTAAAATACATATTTGTAACCAAGAAAAAAAAATACAAATCTAACCCAATACATTAATGGTTTTTTTATCTCTATTTTACTTGTCTGATTCGATCAAATTCAGATTATTTGATACCATAAGTATCTTATTCGGTAATGACTCATCTGATATGTCTTTTATTTGGTCAAATTCAATGTTATTTATGAATCAATTAGACTTTGATAGAATCATATCCAACTCAATCGACAATTTTATTAATTAAAAAAAATTAGATTTTTTAACCAATACTTAAAAGAAAACCTAAGTTAGCAATCAATTTCACAGGTAAGAGGTGTAAAATAGGCATTAAAGCCTCATATTTAAATATTTTGTTTTTCCATTTTCAAATGCCTAATTCTTTGGAGAAACTCTCTAAAAACAATATGACTAAAAAGTACAAATGTCGATTGAAGTAAGCTTTTTTTTTTGTACAAACTTATGTAAACAACAAAAAACATGGAATAAAACATTTTCACATGCCCTGATGCAAAAATTGTATAGTTCATAGTAACTTTTTAGTTTTTTCATATATGAAATATGGTATTTTCGTAGATGCCACATGCGAAAAAAAAAAATATCATAAAGTTAGTATTTTCGCACTTTTATTTTTCGGTATTTAGTTAAGGCATGTTAAAAGGAATTGTGGTGGGAAAATGAAGACCAAGCGAGTCGTGGCTCATGTTCATAGAGTTTTAGGACGTCTACCAAAGAATGTCAAGCAATATTTTTGAGACCAAGTGTTTAGATATTTGTTCGATATATTGCTAATACTACAGGCATCTTACTTATGCATGGGTTGATGCTACACGAGGCTCGGTCGGATAACCACTTAAATTATCAAGGAGCAATTATATAAGATCTTTGATAGAAGGGTATGAGTTATCTTTCGAACAACTTGAGTTTTGTGTAATGACCCGAACTTTCTTTCGAAATAATGTGAGATCAACTGATCCCCAACTTTCTTTCGAAATAATGTGGGATCAACTGATCCTTGGTTAAATTTAGTAATTTTCAAAAGAATTGGTCAAGGTTGTGTACCAGGCACGAGATGTTTGTTTCAACTCATAGAATGTCTTATCTAGAATATAAAAGTGATCAAGATACTTATCATTAATAAAACACAGTGGTTGTTTGACATAGACCATTTCCTCCAGAACTTCGTTGAGGAATGCACACTTGACGTCCATTTGATACACAACGACATCTTTATCCGCTGCATAAGCAAGAAAAATTCGTACAGCCTTAAGCCTTGCGAATAGGAAAAGGTTTACTCATAATTGATACCTTCTTGTTGAGAGTAACCTTCAACGACTAAGCTTCCCTTATTTCGAATTACATTCCCTTCTTTATTAGTTTTATTTTTGAAAACCCATTTTAAACCAATTAACAAAACATCCTTTAGTTTAGGAATTAACCGTCAAACTTTGTTTCGTTTAAATTCAGTCGGTTCAGATTGCAATGCAACAACCCAATCAGAGTGTTCTAATGCAACTTTTACTGTTTTTGGTTCAAGTTTCGAAATGAACACGTTAAACATACAATATTCCTGATGAACATTAAGCACTTCATTTTTTGCTCAAATTTGTGCACGTGTCAATACTCCAACATGTGGATCACCAAGAACCAGTTCCTTTGGATGATTTTGTGTCCATTTATCCATTAGTTGATATGCAAGATCAAAATCTAAAGTTGCATCTTCGAATACATCATCCGCTTCTAAACCTTCTCCTGCATTCGAAAGATTGTTAGTAACATCATGAAACTCATTAGTTTGATCATTTAGATTATCAGGATTTGATCCACTTGACTCCCCTCAACCAATGGGCTGTGTTCTGATGCTCCCCCTCGACATCAGCATGGTCCAAAACATGCTCCCCCTCGACTTGAGTTGTGGTTCGCACATGATCCCCCTCAACATTTGAATCTTGATTAGTATTATGTAATGTCGCCCCTCCACTTGATCATCAATCGAAATCGATACTCGTTCGACATTCACCCTTAAAGTTGATGTAGAATTTGTGTCCTCTTCTTCCCTTATAAAAGTTGAATCATCAGAATGTCTCGATGCTTCAGGAATATGATTATCATCAGCATGATTTTCAGCATCAATCACCCTATCTAGAATTCCAAAAATCAAATCATAATCAATATCATAAGCATTCATGATTTCGGAATCTTCATTTGTTTCATAAATGATTGGCTTTTGTACGAAAGACTGTTCGACTCTCTTGACGTAATAGTCATCAAAAGTAGGATTTAATTTTTCTTCGATCTTTCTCGTTCGTTTGTTCAACACCCTATAGGCAACAAAGTTGTGTGAATATCCCAAGAAGATCCCTTCATCTGATTTCAATTGAAACTTAGAAATATTATCCTTAAGATTCATGATGAAACATTTGCACCCAAAAACATGAAAGAATTTAACATTAGGTTTTCTTTTGTTTATTATCTCATAAGGTGTGATGTTGAAACAACGATGAATAAAAGAAGATTTTGTGTGAAACAAGCAGTTAAAATTGCTTCCGCCCAAAGAGATTGAGGCAAGTCCGTATATGTAAGCATTGTGTGTGCAGCTTCGCATAGAGAATGATTCCTCCTGTTGACAACATCATTTTGTTGTGGTGTCTAAGGAGATAAAAATTATGCGAAATTCCTAACTCAGTCAAGAATGAATCAATAATTCGATTCTTGAATTCTGATCCATTGTCACTCTTAATCCTTCGAACCTTCTTCTTCAAACTCAACTCGATGTTTTTGATGAAATAAATCATCACTTGAGCAGTTTCAGAATTCTTTCGAAGAAAGAAAACCCAAGTAAACCTTGAAAAATCATCAACAATGACGAATATGTACTTCTTCTTATTGAGAGTCTCAACAGCCGAAGGTCCACATAGGTCAATGTGAAGAAGTTCCAAAGGTGCGATGATTTTGGAATTCATAACAAATGGATGACCTTGCTAATGTTGCTTTCCCGGTTCAAACGCATAACACAACGAATCGTTATCAAATTTTAAGACTGGTAAGCCTCGAACAAGATCATGTAGACCAATTTGTTAAGATTTTTGAAATTAAGATGGGATAGACGACCATGCCATAACTAGCTAAGGTCAGAAGAAGCTTTTGGCGGTAGACACATAGAGGGAATCCCAACAATAGGTTTCATGTCGATCGTGAATATGTCTCCTTTTCTTTTCGACTTAAGAAGACTCTCCTTTGTTTATTTATTAGAGATAATAATACCATCTTCATTAAACACAACTTGATTTCCAGTGCCTATAACAAGTTGTGAAACACTAATCAGATTATGTTTTAAGCCTTCGACATACGCCATCCCTATTCACCGTGAATTATCCATTTGTCACTTTGCCATATTTGACATCCCCATTTTCACGGGCAGAAAAGACCGATTTTGTTTATGCTTTATAAAAATCAGAGTACTTCTTTTAATAAAAATGTTGCAGAATTTGTTCCCAGTAAAACATGATAAATACGTTATCAAAGAATTTCTGAAGAAAAGTATTTTTATTCATTTTAAAACATTTGGGATGTTATCGTCAATACAGAAACATAAGCATAAACAGAACTTACATTCATTATCACTAGTTATTTATATCTCCTTAATCTCTCAGTGTAATGTGATTTCATATCCACACCTGTGATATAAATAAACTGAGTGGGTTAAGATGTGAAACCTGGTGAGTACATATGGTTTTCAACCTACAATAATATAATTATCATGTTTAATCATCAAACAGTTAACCCAATTACCCATCCCAATTACCCATCCCCATTATCTTCTTTACTCTTAAGGGTCTACCCTAAGAATTAGCTATTTCTCATTCGTTTATTCCTAAGGATCATCCTAAGGAATCGGCACGAAGTCCATCGTTGCCACGGTTTACACAACAAGCACTAAGTCTACATAGTCGTCAGGGTTTAGGCACCAAGTCTGCATGGTCACCAGGGTTTAAGCATCAAGTCTACATGATCGCCAAGGTTTAGGCACTAAGTATACATAGTCACCAGTGTTTAGGCAGTCTGTATGATCGCCAAGATTTAGAGTACACCGGGTGAACACATCATTCACAACACCTACAGGTTACGAGCCTGCTAGTGTTCCACTGGATTGTCTAGAATAGTCTGTGGTTGTCATCCATACTCTACTAGATGACGAGGCCAACATTTGGGAACAAGGCTTCTCACATCGTCCACCTCTCACCCTTACCTCATGGTCTATATCACCTCTCAACTCATCATCCAACTCATATTTCATCTACCCATGTTTTACCCAACATATTATGCAGATATAAATAAGTATACAGTTTAATCATATAAAACTTGTATAAAATCATTCATCCAGCATAGCTAACAATTATACATATAATATGCACACATAGCACGTAGTTTATATAAAAATACTTCATATCTATGTGTAAGATGAAATGGACCATGCACTCACCTGAGAAGGTGGTAACTCGGCACTCGAACAACACTTTGTTACTCTCAACACAATTTTCCTCGGACAAAACCTAGTATCATTACCACTAGAGTTTAGTCTAATATTCACCGAGACTAATTAATAGTCTAGCTATTATTACTATTATATAAGCGTTAAACAATAATTATATAACCCATAATAATAGCCCAAGTACTTATTATAAGTTCCTAATAATGTTACTATAATTAAATAAAAGCTATATAAAAAATAGCGTAGGAGAATGCTCAAGAACCACCTAAAACAGTCCGTGAATGGAACTAAACTTTCCTGTTGAAAGCGGATGTTTGAGTTTAGTTAAGTTTTTGGTGTTTTAAATTGTATTCTCCCCCTAAAACTTAAAGAAAACATGAAAATGTGGGTGGTATGAACTCACCTTGAGTGATTCCCTAAGATGAATGTGGCAGAAGAGAGGTTTCCAAGTCAAGAACACTTGGAAGGTGCTTAAAGATTTGAAGATCCAAAACTGGAGGAGAATGCTCAAGAACCACCTTGAAACCTCGAGTTTAGAAAGAGAGAGTGTGTGTGTGTATGAGAGAGAGAGAGAGGGAATGGGTTTGCTTTTTGGTGAAGAGTGAGTAAGGTGGGAGGAGAGCTAAGGATTTTCCAGATCTTTGATCAAGATAACTTGCTGGAAAAGAGTGTGAAAGGACAAATAATTGACAAGGTAGGGATGAATAGTGACTGAGGGTGGTCATAGAGTGGGTATGGGAGGTAGCTTGTGTCTTTTCTTTATAGAAAAGTCAACACTCCACCTCAATATCTTACCCAATAGATTTTATTCTTGGACAAGGATTTCCCTCAAAATGTGATTAAATTATGAATATTTAGGGTCTTATATGCCAAAATATGAGTTTGGGTGAAAATCCCACGTTAAAATCATGAAAAACGGGCTTAAAACGCGAAAAGGATCGAAAACCGGGAAAAGAAGGCGAACTTCCGAAGTCTGAGAGGAGGGTTCGGTCCTTGGTGTTTAGAACCGAAGGTAGGTTTGGTTTATGGGCTGGGAACCGAAAGCTGGCTGATCCGAGAAATCTCGTAGGCGAAAGTGTTGGGTGGGAAGCGAAGGCGAAGTCAGGCGAGAAGCGAAGGCGAAGAGGGTTTTGGACCGAAGGGAAGATTCGGTTCACTAGGGCTCGTTTTGGTCTTCTGGAGTTTCGTTCCTAGTGGTTTGGTTATTATAGCTGGCTTTGGTTCTTAGGGTTTCACCTCTTAGGGTTTCGCTTCTTAGGGCTTCACTTCTAAGGGGTTTGGTTCCATTAGGGTTTCTGTCCTATAGGGCTATTTTACCAATAAACTTCCCGTTTTGTGTGGTTTTTGACTAAGTTAAGGGTCGGGATGCCCCGAATGATAATAAAAAGATAATGGAGGTGATGAGAGAGATTTGGGAGAGATTTGAGAGAGATAGAGCGAGAGATTGAGAGAGACTTTGTTTGTGACCTTTGCGAGTGTTTATCTTTGAAATGCAAGGTTTTTAAACCCAACTTTGCCTTTTTATGAGCGTTATACGACCCCCAAGGGTATAATAACGTTTTATCGAGTAGTCCCATTACTTACCCTGATTAGGGTTTAGATTTTCTGAACACGTGAAGACTCAAAGTGATACTTTACATTAAGATAGGGTGTTGTACAATAGTAAACACGATGTAAACCCTAATATACAAGGGTTAATTAAGTTGACCAGTTTGACTTTTTCACTTTATTTGACTTTGACTTGACCGGAAATTGACGGTTGTCACAAGTTCCCCCAAAATACCAATAACCATACAAATAACACATATACAACAACATTCAATGGGTCCACAACTAACAAACTATATTACTCCTGAGCGCATAACATAAGTTTGGATTTCCCTTGGCCTACAGCTTATGTATGGCTTTCTCCCCGGCCTGATCAGTCCTCGGACTGAATACCACTAAGCCCTTGGTATGAGTCTGGCATGCCATTCCCGAACCTCAACTCATATCTGGAATGCTCATGAGCCCTCAGTATGAGTCTGACATACCCTCCCCCACCCTCAGCTCATATCTGGTTTGCTTGAGGGTTTGTTGGATATAGCACAGAGCAGTACAACCTCAACCCAACCCACACAATATGTCAACATATAACATATAATATCATATACAAATAAACTGACAGTATCATAAGTAGTCCTACAAATCTTCCAGACTAGCATATCAAAACTTGCATGCATATCTATTCCATACTCAGCATATCCACAAGATCAGGTTGTTAAACCAATGGGCCGACCTTGGTGCCTTCGACCTGAAAGTATAGTGAGGAAAACTCACCTCACAAGTTGAACATAACTGATAAGTCCCGACTCCAGATCTCAGTTCTCTACTCAATGCCTACACCCACCAAGTGACCAATTCCATCAAAATCTCAACAATATCCAAAATACCATCAAAAGTCAAACTTGGTCAAACTCAAAGTCAAATGGTCAAAGTCCTAAACCCACTGAGTCAACCCAGTCGAGTCAACCAACCCGAGTTAACTTTACATGGGCTGACCCATGCGAGTACGCGGGGCGTACTCCAGAGGTACGCTTAGCGTATGCAAGGCTTCACAAAGGACCACCATCTGGGTGGTTGACCAGGTACATGGCGCGGACCCTCGCTGAACCAACTCCTTCATTAAGTGCTTAATGACTTTAGCACTTGAGCTC